ATTTCGCCTTAAAATCTCACCTTTATTGTTTTTGATGTGTCCAAAATTGGATACAAATAAATTCGAAAGTGATATAGGTAACCAAACTTCCATTATAACATCTGTTTTTTATGGTGAACCATTTTTTTAATTTAGCGAGGTGTAAAGCAGACTTTTATAGCTGTTTTGAATCTACTAAATAAATTTACCCACCCGATTTACTTACTGCATCATAAATCCCGTGGTATTGGACATAAATTCTAAAGCACAATTAATAAAGAATTCATTTATTTTTTTATATCGGGTTTGTGAAATATGAAATGATATAAATTGTACTATAAACAATGTATTGATTGTATTGTGACTATGAAATGATTATATAATGAATTTCCTAATTATTTATTGCAGTGACAAGTCGCCATATTTCACTGCGGGGCAGGACACTTCGTGCTTAAATTCATGTATATGATATGCGACTAACTATTTCATAGATAATGATTTGCGATATAAACACCCATCTAAGTCTAGCATAGTTTTTTCGATCTTTTCACGCATCTTAACCTCCTCTAAAGACTCAGCTTTAAGCTTAGCATTCTCTCCCATAGCCTGTTTTAACTTTACATTCTCTGTATTAACCTCGGTGTTTTCGGCCTCAAGTATAATAATACGCTGTTTCAATAAATCGATTTTAGATCATGCGTTAGTCAGCATTGCCTTAACTTTTGTGTTTTCAGCCTCAAGTATCATAATACGCTGATTCGATAAATTGATTTTAGATTGAGTGTAAGTCATTGTTATATAAGATGCGGATATATTTAAAAATTATTTCAGAAAAATTAGCTCAAGTTTTTATGCATGTGATCGTGAAAAATGATTTATGATATTCGATAAGTTTTGCATTGCGATACATAATAAAAAATAATTGCAACTGTAAATCGTACCCTGATTCTTCACATAAAAAATAATATAATCAGAGAACATTTTATTATCTAGCAAATATATATATATCTCTTTCGTAAAAAGTGCACTCTATGCATTAATCGATAATTTATGCTAGATATTCTTGAATCATTTCGTAAATGTAATCGATGACTTAAGATGGGCAGGTTATTAAACTCTGATCAGGAATAGCCAGTACTTGACTACTCTGTTCAGACATTGGAGTAAAGCAGGAACAAGTTTCCGTATGATTATGAGGAGACATTGTTTCAAGTAAGATACCTGTATCATCCGGTTTTGAATTGTCACAGGTTAAGAAATATAACTTTTGCCCATGCTCATTAATCCACCATTTACCAAGTACCCATTGATGTTTCTTCTTACAAAGAGGACAAACACAGTCATACGACATCCAATACTCATCATATCGGTGTTTACCTTCCTCTTTCCAGATATTTTCAAGGTGTATACATGGGACCTTGTTCATGAGACTTTCAATGGCTTGTGTTTGTTCTTCCTCGGATGGGAGGCAATTGAGTGGTTTGAGATGTGCCTTCTTCTTTTTTCGCAAAATTGTTGAAGTTCGCGAAATAGGATTTATAGACTTCTTTTCGGTTTGAGGTGTAGGTGATATAATTATCTTGGTTTTTGACCGTTCCAGTTCCGCTGATAATACATGATCTATGATATTTTGAATTTGAGGATAGGAAAGGTTAGAAATTGCATTTGCACTATAGGAAACTTGCTTAATCTTTTCTACCCCTACTGCATTAACAAGCATTCTTATTTTCCTGGCTCTAAGAAGTTTTTGACGCAGATTCACATCTGTAATTTCAGGAAGAAGCCATTTTACTTCATCATATACTATACCCATTGCTTTTTTCTTACCGATTTTCTTATCAATGGAGACTTTGTCTACTCTTTTGTCATATTTTTCCGCAACATAGTGCCAACATAAAATGGTTTTTTGACTTGATCGAACAGCCTCTCGAAATATATGAACTATGCTTTGCACTGAAACTGAGGATGAGTCAAGATTCTGCGAATCTGTATCTTCAGCCAATACTTCATTATTTTTAGCACTAATGTACTGGCTCATATCAATAGTCACAGAAAGCTGTTGCGTTAACTCCTGTTCTACAATCAAATTTTTATCTTGAGGAGAAATAAGTTCATCATTCTGTTCGAATTCATTAAGTACAAGGTTGGAGCTGATAGTAACAGTTGATAGATTCCTCTCCCTGTTCCTACAGCTAATCTCATTACTAACCTTTTTCTTATTCTCTGAATCTAGGAATTTATCGATCTCTATATCCTCCAATGATTTAGTCTCCGTGCAAATAGGTTGGTATATATTAGAATTTGTTATCTCGGGTGCGTCGGATATAGGAACATTCTCACTTTGTAAAACTATCTGTTCGGGGGTTACAGGAGTAATGCTAGTTATAGAATCATTTATTTCACAGTGTATTGAAGTTTCTTTATCGGAGTAGGTTTCGATAGATGGAAAAGTTATTTGTGATTCGAATTGGGTTGAGCTATGTTCTATTTCAGGTATAGGATCAGAAGTAATAGCTTCCTCCTCATCAGGTTGACTCTCGGCCTTTAGCCAGCTTATGCCGATATGTGACGAAATATCTTTTGTGGGGTTATTATCAGAATTTATTTCAGGGAGGATGGGTATCTGTAAACTTATTGGATTCTGCGAATTATTAGTATCCTTGTCTTGCGAGTTCTGTTCCTTGATTAGTGAAACATCGCATTCCAGTTTTGTAAATCTGGTTTCATGTTCTTCCAAAGTTTGTTTTAACTTCGTATTTTCAGCTTTAATCTCAATATTTTCAGCCTTGACTTTGGCATTCTCAGTCTCAACTTCGACAAACTTTTTTCTAAGTTCATCAATGTCAGATAAGAGTCTGGTATTCAATTCTCTCAACGAATCGATTGTGGATTGTGGATTTCCCATTGTTCTACATAAAATATGGATATATTCAAAAGCTTGTTATTAACATAGACGAAATAAATAAATCACGTGCGCATTCTTTTTCGTGAATTTTATTAACGGAAATTTTAAAAATTCATAAACATATATTCATGTCATCAATAGCAATACGATAAAATAAATCTAGTTCGGATTACATGATTAATATACACACTGCTGATTCCTGATCGTACCCCGATGCAATGTATGTGGTATTAGCGAGTAAAAAATATTCTGGAAAATAAACACGTGATTTGGGGGAACTTTTTTGACGATTTGTTTGTTGAAATTTTGCCAAGAAAAATTATTGATTACACATATACATTACATGAAAAAATAACACATGATACATTGTACATTCCTCTAACCAAAAATCTTTATTAATAAATACATGATAAAAACGTGGGATAAAATACATAATAATATATATAGAAAAATAAAAAATTAATCGTGTTCCGGTGTAGTAACAGTGGGACTTGGAGAAGTATTTTGAGGTGGATGTGAAATGGCCTGTTCTATTGCGTGTTTAAGCAAATTCTTATTTACAATTATAATATTTCTCAAGGTCAGTAGCAATCTCATTAAGGCTTTTGTGCGCAATCCTACCTCCGCAGTTAATGGAATTTCTGCATGATCTAGGTGGAAGTATCTTGGTATCCCACTTGCGTCGTTAACAAGGACATTTAAATATATTTTCTCACCGGCTACTTGGACTCCGACCACATCAAATTGATTGCAAATAGGTCTACATGCAGAACTTATATAGCTACTTCCATCCAATAATTCTCGCCATAATTTTATCTCTCATCTGTTTTTTTAGTAGGACTGCAGACAATGTGAGAACTTTCTACATATAAAAATTCCACCAACTTCCCATTACACTTTTCTAGAGCCATAATATCAGGCTTTTTCTCCATTTTTACTTTACCTGTTCCATCGTTTCTACGTGTCTTACTTGCTAAGCTTTGACGTTCAGCCGTGCTCAAACAAATATATCCATTTGGCAAGTCACTTAAACTAGCTCGAAGTAATGGCATAATCACATCCGTAATATAAGTCCCTTCACTTTGTACACTACTCGTGGCCCTTGTGTTAAAAGTCGAATTGCACCAGATACCTTCTCTAAATTTACAGATAAAAATTAACGAAGGCTTTAGTTTTACTAAAGATATAAATGATTATTAGTTACTCACAATACGTCAAGTATCCGTTCTGCTGTTTTTAACAATTCGAACTCATCCTCCTTCCATAATTTATCGTACACAATATTTCTAATATGGTTGTAATTACTTATCTCGTCAAAATTTTCTACGAATTCGTCAACCCTAGAAGAAATTAATCTAAGAACTTCACACTTCATATTCTCTCGAGGTTCCTAGATAATAATAGGAATTATTGTTATTTTTGGAGAAAAAAAGTAACACATACTATATATTGTTGCAAAGCAACGAGGCTCTGCCCCCATCTTTACCATAAAAGTACGTCTCTGTCTGTGACTTAGATTTTTAATAATTTCCGAATCATCATTAAAAACAGTACTTGTGATTGGATCTCTCCAGGTAAGTTCAGAAACATTCAATCCTCCATCGATATTTTTCTTAAGAGCTCCGTAAAGATTTTCATCAGCATTGGTTATAGGTGAACCAAGTTTCGTTTTTAATATTCTAACATTTTGCTCGATTTCTTCTCGTGTATAATCAGTGGTCGATTCTTGAGCTATATTCAATGCTTTCAATGCTTTCAAACTAATAATAGTGTTATATCCACTTTCC